CTATTCCTTCTTTTTTTAGAAGGAAGACTGGGCAATCTACTTCCGTAAAAATTTACCACCTCAGAGACCCAAAGGAGGTCATTATGAATTGGATTCAACTCAATGACAGTGAGTTTGGATTTTAGTAGTTTTTCTATTTACATTTCTTTTCTCTTTTGTTTCCTTTATTGCCTTTCCTTTTATTATTTTTCCTTTCTCTTTTTGGTGATTGTTCCTGTGTGTTTATGCAGTATATATGAGTGGGAGACCGCAACCATGCCCGTACGACCCAACCACACCCACACCTCCTGCAACCGCACTTACTGAGTGAGGGTCACCACTTGCCTCTGCACCAACTGGCCAATGACACATGAGTTACCCCAATATGAGCCTAACTCTTGCTTAACTGCTCTTCAAAAATAGCTAATGGAAATCTGTGCACCCACTCTCACTCTCTATCACAACCACCAGGAGACAGGTGGTTAGTAAATAAGTGCTGCCAACTAATGAGGAGAGGATCACGGTACCCTGCTTCCTCTGATAAGCCAAACAAAGAAAATTATAATCTTGGGCAAGATGTAGCACTGGAACTCCCTGATAAGGAATTCAAAAGAATTATATTTAGTTACCTTCAATGGACTGAGGACGGATCAAGGAAAACACTGACAGAATTAAGATACAAACAGATAAAACCCTAGAACAATTTAAGAATACAAGAACAAAATGACAAAATAAATGAAACATCAGAAATGATACAAAATCTATAGACAGAAATTCAGCAGATTAACACTAAATTTTCAGAAATAGGTAACACATTGAATGGGCAAAGGAGTAGAATTGATGCAATGGAAGACAGAATTAAGGAGATTGAAGACAAATACCTGAATATTTCTATGGAAAGGGATCAATCAGAAAAAAAGATCAAAACAAAATGAAGAAAGCCTAAGATTCATGTGGGATACAATCAAGAGAAAATAACCTACATGTAACTGGAATTGCAGAACAAGAAGACACAAATAAAATCCCAGAGAAAATTGTCCAAGATGTGCTGGAAGACAATTTCCCAGGTATGATGAAGCATAAGAATACATCCATTCAAAAAGTCCAACAAAAACCAAATAGGACAGATCTCAAAAGACAATCACCAGGACATATCATCATGAAACTCACCAAGACCAAAGATTAAGAATCCTGAAAGTAGCACTGGAAAAATGAAATGTTACCTACAAAGGGCAATGAGTAAGATGAAGCTGACTTCTTGGCAGAAACCACGCAGGCGGTAAGACAATGGGATGGTATATATAAAACCCTGAAAGGAAAAAATTTCCAACTAAGAATTACATAACTCATTGCTGTCGAGTTGATCCCAATTCACAGCAACCCCTCTTTGGGTTTCTGAGGCAGTATCGCTACGGAAGTAGATTGCCTCCTCTTCCTTCCGAGGAGTGACTGGTGGGTTTGAACCACCAGCCTTCAGGTTAGCAGTCAAATGCCTTAGGCACTACATCACCAGAGCTCCCAAGAATTACATACACAGCAAACTGTCCCTCAAATATGAAGGTGAAATTAGGACATTTCCAAATAAGCAGAAATTAAGGGAATTTGTCAAAACCAAATCAACCTTACAAGAGATGCTAAAGGGAGTCCTTTGGACAGAGAACCAACAACAGTAAACAACTGACCATTAATGCACATGATGACATAAACCACCAACCAACCCAGTCATGGAAGTTTCCAAAGTAAAATAAGTTTACAAGATTATAATCAGGGAACCAGAGACATCAGTTGGCTAATAAGGACAACTACAAACCAAGAAAAGGGGAAAAACAGTGTAGTTACAGAACTTCTAAATGGAGAGGAAGTAAAGACAATTGCAAGATAGACTGGGCAGTTCTAAACTTGGGAAGAAAATTATATAACACAGGGTAAACTCAAAGAAAAATGATAAACCTTCACATCAAAATAAAAAAGAGAACAAGCACAAATATTTAGCAAATACTGAAACAACAATAATGAAGGAAATGATAACACAATTCACAAACTAAATGAGCTCAGAACAGAAAATTATATGAAACAAAGAAATCAGCAATAACATGAACAAACATGTATAACTCTGATACCAAAACCAGGCAGACACCACTAAAGAGGAAAATTACAGACCAATATCCTATGAATATAGATGTAAAAATCTTCAACAAAATCCTGGCTAGCAGACTCACAATGATATATAAAAAGAAAAAGACATCAAAATGGGGTTCATACAGGGTATGCAAGGTAAAGAATCACATGATCATATCAAGAGATGCAGAAAGGCATTTGATAACATCCCACACCTATTCCTGGTAAAAACTCTCAGCAAAACAGGAATAGAAGGGACATTCCTCAACACAATAAAGGGCATATATGTAAATCCAGTAGTCAACATTATTATTAACGGAGAGAGACTCAAAGCATTCCTCTTGCAAATGGGAACCAGGCAAGGATGCCCTCTATCATCACTTCTATTCAACATTGTATTGGAAGTCCTAACTAGGACTCTGGTAGCATAGTGCCTAAGGAACTTGACTGATAACCAGAAGGCTGGTGGTTCAAATCCACTAGCCACTCCTCGGAAGGAAGGCTGGACAATCTACTTCTGTAGTGATACTGCCTCGGAAACCCAAGGGGGGTCGCTATGAATCGGGTCCGACTCGACGGCACATTAACAACAACAACTAGGATAAAAAGGCAAGAAAGAGTAATCAAAGGCATTAAAACTGGTAAGGAAGAAGTAAAACTATCCCTATTTGCTGATGGTATGATCCTATACATTGAAAACCCAAGAGATTCAGCAAAAAAACTACTAGAACTAATTGAGAGATTCAGCACAGTGGTGGGATACATACAAGATCAACATACAAAACTCAGGAGGATTCCTGTACACCAAAAAAGTGCCTGCTGAGAAGGAAATAAGGAAATCAATACCATTTACAATGCTGTTGTTGTTATTATGTGCCGACAAGTCGGACCTGACTCATAGCGACCCCTCCTTGGGTTTCCGAGGCAGTATCACTATGGAAATAGATTGCCTCATCTTCCTTCCGAGGACTGGCTGATGGGTTTGAACCGCCAGCCTTCTGGTTAGCAGTCAGATGCCTTAGGCACTACACAATAGCTACCAAAAATGAAAATACTTGGGAATAAATCTTACAAGGGACACAAAAGATCTGTACAAAGAAAACGACAAAACACTACCTCAAGAAACCATAAAAGCTGTTAGAGACATATATTGATTTGGGTGAAGAGAAGGGCAATGTACCAAATGTGAGTGATCACCACAGTGGCACTGGGGAAGAGGAAGACAGACAGACAGAGGAACATGGGAGGTACAGACAACAAAGATGAAACCTTTTCCACATCTGTGAAGGCCAACACTGATATACAGGCAGACACATGGGTAGAGAGACTGACCTATTAGGTTTGCCTATGTAGGGGAGAGGAGCTCTGGTAGCTTAGTGCCTAAGGCAATTGACTGCTAACCAGAAGTCTGATGGTTCAAACCCACCAGCCACTCCTTGGAAGGAAGATGGGGCAATCTACTTCTATAGCGATACTGCCCTGGAAACCTCAAGGAGGGGTCGCTATGAGTCAGGGCCGACTCGACAGCGCGTAACAGCAACAACATGTAGAGGGGAGCGTGCCCAAGACCATGTATAGGGTTGCCAGACAATGTTTCCACAAGTGTATTGGTATGTTCTATAAGAATTCCCAGTTATATAGTAGAGCTGACAAGGGACAAGGTTGTAGTCACTTCTTAAGACAGAGCCAGCTACCCATGCGATCCTCAGCCTATGTCACTATGAGACTAGAAGAACTAGATAGTGCCTGACTACCAATGTCAACCATTTGGAGGGGTATCTAAGTAGGAGATCCTGGAAAGAGTGGGAGAAAAATGTGAACCAAAACTCAAAATCATTTAGGACAAAAAAAAAAAAAGGACTACGTTTGCTGGTCTGATAGAGCCAGAGGGAACCACCGACACTATGGCCCCTAGCTGCCCTATAGGTGTGGAACTGAACTACCTCCTGTGGCTTCCAGGCAAACAAAACACAGGCATATGAGGTGGACATTTATACTTAGCAGATACTTAGCATATTTCTCCTTGGAAAGAACAATCATGGGAGAACAGAAGGGGTATGTATGCACAGGTTGACAGCTCACAGGGTAGGAATACATGGAGGGAAGGACACAGAGAAGAGGTAACTATGGGGAGGAAGTGGAAAGAGACCTATTGCATTGTGGTAAAATGTAGTCAATGTCATGAGACAAAGTGTATGTGAACTGATGTATGGAAGGTGAATTTGCTGTCAACTTTCACCCAAATCACAAAAAACAAAACAAAACAAAAAGATAGATCAAAGATCAATAACTATAAAGTTCATCAAAGATAAAACAGGGACAAATTTAGGGAACCTAACTTACGGCATTAATCTATGATCAAATATAACCCAAAATGCACAAATAGCAGAAGAGAAACCAGATGACTGAGACATAAAAATTAAACTCATACAAACCAAAAGACTTTTTCATAAAAGGAAAAAGTGAACCTACAGTTTGTGAAAAAATATTTGGCAACAACACATCTGACAATGGACTTATCTCTACAATTTATAGAAAACCTCAACATCAAAGACAATCCATATAATTAAAAAAAAAGGAAAATGGACGTAAGAGACACATCACCAAAGAAGATATTCAAGCAGCCAAACAACACATGAAGAAATACTTATTAGACACTCGAGAGATGCAAACCAAAACAAGGTATCATCCCACCTCAGTTCAACAAGATAGAAAATGATAAATGCTGCCAAGAGTGTGGAGAGATTAGAACTCTCACAGGCTGCTGCTGGTGGGACTGTAAAATGGTATAACCACACTTCCTTAAAAAGGCTGAAATAGAAATATCATTTGAATCACCAATCCAACTAGTAGGTATATATCCTAAAGAAGTTAGAGTTTCTCTTCAATGAGGCAGCCGAGGGGGAGACGCAGAGATGCAGATCTTTGTGAAGACCTTGAAGGGCAAGACCATCACTCTTGAGGTGGAGCCCAGTGACACCATGGAGAATGTCAAAGCCAAAATCCAAGCCAAGGAGGGCATTCCTCCTGACCAGCAGCGTCTGATTTTTGAGGGCAAAGAGCTAGAGGATGGCCGTATTCTCTCAGATTACAACATCCAGAAAGAGTCCACCCTGCACCCAGTGCTACATCTCCGCGGTGGCGTCACTGAGTTTTCCCTGCGTCAGCTTGCCCAGAAGTACAAATGCGACAAGATGATCTGCCGCAAGTGTGATGCTCGCTTGCACTCCTGTGCTGTCAACTGCCGCAAGGAGAAGTGTGACCATACCAACAATCTGCGTCCCAAGAAGAAGGTCAAATAAGGGCCCTTCTACATTGGCTCCCCTGCCTCTTGAGGGTGGACTCCTCCTGGGCCTCCCCATGGTCTTGGGCACTCAATAAAGTCTCCCTTCATTGAACTGAAAAAAAAAAAAAAAAATCTAGCAGCAAATTTAAGAGCCATAATATATGGTATAAATAGAATAGCAAGCATAATTCAAAATGCACCAACAGCAGAAGAGAAACCAGATGACTGGGACCTTCTAAAAATTAAATGTTTATGTGCTTCTAAAGACTTCTTCAGAAGAGTCAAAAGAGAACCTACAGATTGGGAAAAAATATTTGGTAATAACATATCTGATGAGGGACTTATCTCTAGAATTTATAGAACACTTCAACACCTCAATAACAAAAAGACAAACAATCCAATTAAAAAATGGGCAGAAGACATGAATAGACACTTCACCAAG